GAAATGTCTATTACCACAATTGTCGTATAGAGGAAGAGTTCTGGTGGTAAACAACCTGGCTGCATCTATCTTGTGGCATAGACTCATGGTACTGGAGCCACCTGATGAGTTGATCTGCAGGATACAAAGGACTTTTATGAATTTCTTCTGGAGTGGAGAACACTGGATTCGGCGCAGCAGCACTTTACCTTCCAGTTTCAAGAAGGAGGCCAAGGTCTGGTGGATGTGAGGAGCAGAATCTGTGCCTTCAGAATCCAAGCAGCACAGAGATTTCTCTACCATAAGGATTTGGTTGGTTCTCAGACTGCGAAGGCATTTCTTCAAAAAACTGGGGGTCTTGGATTAGACAAGCATTTATTTTTTAATGAACCTGGAGAGGATAAACATGTCTGAGCTTTCGCATTTTTAACCGGGACACTTTTGCATTCATTGAGAACTGTTTTTAAATTTGAAAGAGAGGTTGATGAACCTGGAACTGGGTCTAGAGGAACCTTTATGTTTTAATCCAATGACTCAAACAAGACTTTTGTCTTCTGTGAGTGTAAGTTTCATGCTTGCAGAGAAATGGAATTGTCAAGCTGGGACACCTCTTGAATGGAGATGGATGGAAGTCGTTGGAGGAACTTAAAGATTGACTGGCTTGAGATTCCTCACATTTGACACACAAAAGTTGATGGAGGAGATTGTCAATACCTTACCAAGTAGTTACAGAAAGTACATTGGGAGAGGAAATTTGATGGACATGACGAATGAACAGGAACTCCCAGGAATTAAAATCTCTCATCTTATCCACAAGTTTCCGAGGGGCGCTCCTGTAAAAAATAAAGTGGGTGAAACTTCCGGTGACGCGGCGAAGTAGCATTCCAATGGTATTTTGTGTGTTAGTTAGCGAAGAGGCTAGCTGTTTTTCTGAGAATTATTTTACTATTTAAAGACGCAAATCTTTATGAGAGATGTCGTTACGGAGCTCAGGGACAACATGTGCTGTTCGCGGTTGTATGTATAACCGTACTAAACTAATTCAGTGGCTTAAACGTGATTGTTTTGAACATAAGCTGAAAACGAAATCAGAGTGATCCTGCCAGAGCCCGTCTCTGATCCTGCCAACGACTGTAGTTTCCATCACCTCCCAAAAGACGATGAATCTTCCTGTGTACATTTGTTTAACCCCCAGAGCTCGACGGCATCGTCGACGATGGCACACGTCACCTCCGATAAATGTTTACATAACTCGATGACAGATTTATCGATTTTCTTACCGTTTTTTCCAGCAGAAAGCTAACGAGCTAGCCATCACGGGAGTGTCTTTCGGGTCTTTCTAGCCTTTAGCCAGAAAGCCACAAAACTTCACCGGTGTCCAGGGACAGGCATTAGGCTGGTTTAGATCGTACTTATCGGACCGTTCTCATTTTGTCTGTTTAAATGGGAAAAAAATCAAAGATAACGTCAGTAGACTATGGAGTACCGCAAGGATCGGTTTTAGGCCCTCTGCTATTCTCAATATATATGCTGCCACTTGGTAATATTATAAGAAAACATGGAATTAATTTCCACTGTTACGCTGACGACACTCAATTATATATTTCATCACGACCAGATGAAAACACTAACTCATCTAAAATGACAGAGTGTCTCAAAGATATAAAATGCTGGATGACGCGTAATTTCCTGCTATTAAATTCAGATAAAACGGAGGTATTACTTATTGGTCCCAAAAAACTACTCACAAAAACCTCTCACCAATACAACTTTAATATAGACGGATGTCCTGTTTACTTTATCCACACAGTAAAAGACCTGGGTGTTATACTAGACCGCAACTTGTCTTTCGAAGATCATATTTCATATGTTACAAGAACAGCCTTTTTCCACCTTAGAAACATTGCTAAGCTACGTAACATGCTATCTGTTTCTGATGCAGAAAAATTAGTTCATGACCTCAAGACTAGATTACTGTAATGCTTTATTAGCCGGTTGTCCTGCATCCTCAATAAACAAGCTACAGTTAGTACAAAATGCAGCTGCTAGAGTTCTTACTAGGTCAAGAAAATATGATCATATAACACAGATTTTATCATCTCTACACTGGTTTACCTATTAAGTTCCGCATCAACTACAAAATACTACTACTGACCTATAAAGCCCTAAATGGTTTAGCACCTATGTACTTAACGACCTTCTTTCGCCCTACAATCCATCGCGTTCCTTAAGATCACTAAATTCAAGGCTTCTGGTCATTCCTAGGATATCGAAGTCCAGTAAAGGAGGGAGGGCGTTCTCGCATTTAGCTCCAAAACTCTGGAATGGCCTTCCGGATACGGTCCGAGCCTCTAACTCGCTGACACAGTTTAAAACTAGATTAAAGACGCTTCTCTTTAGTCAAGCATTCACATAATGCGTACCTTCTAGTCCTCTGTTATGCATACGGAACCGTTTGCCACTGAAACTGCTTAACGCACCAGTGGGGCTCGACAGCCTTTTAGACAAACGGGTCGGCGCGTATGGTTGGGTTGCGGAGAGTTCAGGTTACGGAGAGTTTGTGAGTTATAACGGAAATCATTATGAACATCAGCTATGCTAATTATTTCCCATCTGCCTTTCTGCTGTTATCTCGGGACGCTTGTCCCGAGAAAAATGGCGTTCGTCAGGTTCAGTTTTGTGTCCAGCCTCTCACGGGGATTTCGGATGCCCCAACGCCTGTGATGAGACGACTCAACGCCTGTGAAGAGACGACTCAACGCCTGCGATATGTTATGGCGCCGTTTGATTCATAAACAATATTTATATTTAATATTTATATTTAAACAATATGAATGTAAGCCAGAGGAGAACTGGCCCCCGACTGAGCCTGGGTTCTCCCAAGGTTTTTTCTCCATCCAATCTGATGGAGTTTGGTTCCTTGCCACTGTCGCCTTGCTTTTGGCTTGCTTTGAGCTTGCTCAGTTGGGGTTATTTAGTGTTTAGCAATGTTGTTGATCTGTGTTGTGCTACTTTCATGTTATCACTGTGAAGCTACATGGAAAGAAACTATATGAGGATATATGCGCATATATGAAACCTATATGCAGTTTATATGCACATATACAGTATGCTGCATATATACAGCATATATGCACATATATGATAATATATATGCTGCATATGTGTGTATATATGACACATATAGGCAATTTTAGGTGCATATATGCACATATCCACAAGTTTCCGAGGGGCGCTCCTGTAAAAAATAAAGTGGGTGAAACTTCCGGTGACGCGGCGGAAGTAGCATTCCAATGGTATTTTGTGTGTTAGTTAGCGAAGAGGCTAGCTGTTTTTCCGGAGAATTATTTTACTATTTAAAGACGCAAATCTTTATGAGAGATGTCGTTACGGAGCTCAAGGACAACATGTTCGCGGTTGTATGTATAACCGGACTAAACTAATTTAGTGGCTTAAACGGGATTGTTTTGAACATAAGCTGAAAACGAAATCACAGTGATCCTCCCAGAGCCTGTCTCTGATCCTGCCAACGACTGTAGTTTCCATCACCTCCCAAAAGACGACGAATCTTCCTGTGTACATTTGTTTAAATTCTTAATGTTCTATAAACTCTATCAGCATGTGATTGGCTGTTCGCTACTGATGTTACACCTAAACTCAGGATCAAAGCCTGTGTTGACAGAATACCAAATGTGCCAGTTAATGTATTCAAGCAGCACATTCATTTATAATTTTGAATAAACTCCAAAGCACAATGACTAAGTGTGTATTTTTTATTTGAATTGTTTGTCAGCTCGCACAACTGTCTGTCACCATGCCTTGATGAGTATTGATTATTAATAATGTTATTATAATACTCCCAATCAACTACTGCGGAGGGTAACTGTTATTTCACCCTTTTGAATTTCGTTGAGGTTGTGTTCCCACATCGTTATCTAGTTTGGATCGCTATAACTTGAATGACTGTCAACTGTTGAATGAACGAGTGTGATGTCAAGTTGCGCTTTGTTTACTTCCAACCGGAAGTCGCGCCCACTTTTGACGCAAGGCCTCATGGGGCGTAGGAAACTTGTGGATATGATAAGATATATGCTGCATATGTGTGTATATATGACACATATAGGCAATTTTAGGTGCATATATGTGCATATACAGGCCATATACTGTAGGTCTCCTGCATTGCTTCTTTATATCCACACATAAGTGCTATATACAAGAGTATCCTATACTGTAGCTCATGGCATGATCTGGTCATTTGTAGCTCATCCACTCTAAACAATGCTGGGTTGTTTGAACCCAAATTTGGGTGAAATGGACAAACCCAAATGTTTGGTTAAAAATGTAATTTCAAATATTAACCCAAATTCAACTTTCACTTTCACTTTTTCAACTGTACATTTTTTTAATTGCATTTTTAACCCAACATTTGGGTTTGTCCATGTTTGACCCAAAGCATTTTTAGAGTGTATATGTCACTATATTGCTCAAATAAATAAATAAATATTTATATACATATCAGAATGACTTAGTGGAAAAGAAGGAAATGTATAACAAAAGGGTTTGTTGTTTTTTCATTTTACCAAAAAGCCCTTTTTCCAATTTCAAGTCACTTTCCCATACACATCCACACATTCACCGATACATCCACCAAATGCAATGCAAATTGCAATGTTTTCTGTATTGTCTGAATGCAGTTTTTTTTTTCTGGCTGAAAGGTAATTACAGTCAAAAAAAAAAAAAAGTGAATAGAACGTACATTCAAATAATCATCATCATCCCACCATCTATCTGAGCAATTCACAGTGGTTAATAAATTCAAATGCTGCTGCACTGCCGATTGGCCGCTACAGCGCCCCGTAGTTGATGACGTCACCCGCCTAACACTTGACGTTATCCGTATCCGATGAGATGAAGTCAAGTTTCGCGCCGGAAGATAACGGCTGGGAGTAAAAATTGCGATTTCAGCATTGGAGATCCTCTAAGTCCTACTTATCACCAATCGTAAGTATTCCTAATTTTATATTTATTTGCAGGGTGAAAATTGCGGTGGCAGAGAAGTATAAACTTAGCATTTATTTTTTGCCAAACACACCTGTTTCAGCCCATAGGCCTACACTTCCTATGTTGTTAGCTGGTGAGGTAACGTAACGTTACTGTGGGTGCTAAAATAACTTAGCCGTTGATAAGATTCAATTTAGAATTAACGTGTATTTATTTGTTTCTTTCTGGAGGAATTCAGAGGGTTATCAAAAGTCATGGCCTAGAGAACATAACGTCATGAGAATAAATGATACTTCTCTGCCAACGGCTCAAGAAGGCAATCGGCTCCAGAAAAAAAAAAAATACCTGTGGAGTTTGAATTTGGTCGAAATTGTTGAAAGAAAGAGCCGTATCAATGGGCTTGCCTTTACAGTTGCAGGAAATGTCTTTCAAATAGTAAACATTAACGTTAGGGCATTACTATTTTGATTAAGTGATTGTAATTGTTTTTTTTTTCTTTATATAACCTCTTTCTAGAATTACCTCAAATGAAAAGTTACCTCGCCATTATTGCTCAAAAAGGTAAGTTCCTCTGATTTTGCTTTTTAAAATTGTTTCTCTAGCAGAGCTGTAGAGACTTGTGATGTTGGGCTGATTGATAATGTTAATTATTTGATTTAAGTTATTTGCACTTTAATTTATTGAAGAGAATAACTTTTATTTTTCTTCTATGAACAAGACTGGAAGGAGTCCTGTTGAGGATTTAGATTCCTCCTCTTTTGAAAAGTGCAACCGGTGAGTAACCCCCTTGAATTTTTATTTATTTATTAATAAATATCCCCATCCCTACCCCGACACCCTATCCTCCTCCTCCTCTCCTTTAAGAACATTTAGGGCAATTATTAATTTGTTTCATATTATTATTTTGTGTAATATTATTATTTTGTTTCTTTATCATTAATCTGCATTCATACATAAAAACATATAAACTATTGGGAAGCTAAGCATAAGAATCAATATGAAACAATGCCAATAAATGAATAAATTATTTTTCAGATTGAAGTTATAAAGGGCTCTGGGGTGTTTTGCCAGGCAGAAGTCTGGAAAGCAGCCCTCCTTGCCACCTCTGCTACTGCCATGGTGTGGAATCTGCTGCTGGGCACATTTGATCTGGAGACTTTGCTGAAAAACAACCTGAATGGTACAAAACATTCTCCTAATCTCTTCTGTCCATAAAAAACAATTAATATTCTGTGGAATAAATTATGTTTGTGTGCGGGCATACCATCGCTTTTTTACTTGCCATTTTTGTATTTCCTTGCACCTCAAGAAAATGTGATGTGTATATAAAAAAAGTATTGCTTTCACAAGCTTCATTTTAACCCCCTTTTATAATAATTTTGAAATTTTACTTTAAGGTGGGAAGCCAACCAGAGGGGATGGGGAGCAGCTGGTCGCCCTTGACCAAATTAAAAAGGCATCATTATTGGTGAGTAAATGTTTAAAAGTTTTGTTTTCCCTTCTCAACGCATTAGGATTTTATAAGTTCACCACTTTAACCATAGCCTACTTGTATCAATGTTTATTAGGCATCAGTTGAGACTGTATAAGGGATTATTGTTACTATATCTACTTGGAACCTATAATACTAATTCATCGCTTGCTCAGTTCTTGATCCTAACTTTCCTTTTCTTAAGCCACGTTTCAGATTTTTCAGAATCTTCCAATTGACATGTTTACATGACGCATTTTTTAAATGATCAACCTTTTATCAAAAAATATGTGTCCGATCACATCTGTACTGTAAGCACTTTGGGTTCCTGATGAAGTACTATATTCTTCTTCTTCTTCTTCTTCTTCTTCTTCTTCTTCTTCTTCTTCTTCTTATTATTATTATTATTATAGTGTCTTATAATTTTTGTCTTCTCTAGATGCTACATTGAAGAAGTGGCCGTCAGCCAGCCGAGGGGAGATGGGCACGTCTATCAATTCAAAGCTCATGGAGCTGAGAAGATCAAAAAGATTTTTTTTCTATCCAGTTTTTTTGTCTTATTTTTGTTTTTGTACTATTTGATCTTAAGTAAATAAATAATCTAAATGCATACATTTTGGACTATTATTTATGTTGCCTAGTAGCTATGGATTTTAATAATTATTCTAATATAGGTAAACATGTTGGTGCATGTATAAATTATGTGCACATATATGCGTACATACATGTACATATGAAGAGTTCAGATGCAAAAGCCTCTAAATGCCATTTGAAATTTTCTTCTTTAATGATGATTTTTATCAAGCTTGTATATTTAAGTTCAGTGATTTCACTTAAATGGCAATGATAATTACCTATTAATTGTTATTTAATTGAAATTACTGAACTTAAATATACAAGTTTGATAAAAATCATCATTAAAGAAGAAAATTTCAAGTGGCATTTAGAGGTTTTTGCATCTGAACTCTTCATATATAGGTACATGTATGCATGTATATATGCACCTATATGTGTACATATATGCATGCATATATAGGTTCATATATGCACAAATATATGCACCTATATGTGTACATATGCGTGCATACATGTTCATATATGCACCTATATGTGTACATATATGTGTGCATACATGTACCTATATAGGTGCGTATATATGTGTACATATATGCACGTATATATGTGCATATATGTACATATAATATAGGAAAACGGCCAATTTTATATATGTCACATATATTAAAAACATATATCAAAACCTATATTAAAACATATATGTTTATATAGGTTTTTTCCATACAATCTGTATTGTGAAAAGCGCTATATAAATAAATGTGACTTGACTTGACTTTACAGAAGGTTTTCTATCTAGCCTGGAACTTGTGCTTCCTTTCAGAGGTTTTCAGCAATAAATCCAAACGCTTTATGTCAAACTTTGATAATCTTGAAGTCCATAATTCATAAATATTCGGTCATTTTTGCCGCTAGCTCGACGCTAGCGGCCATTCTGGATATCACGTGATGTTTTCACGTGATGGTTTTTGACCAATTACAGGCTGATCCGTGGTAAACATTGGTGTGCGTCATTACGCATGAACCAAGCGCTGATATACACAAGTTTTTGAGCCGTTTCCGCTCTACATCCTAAGCTCCTCCCGTTTATGCAATCCACTTCCGTTTTGGCGGGTTGGTTATGCTACCTAGCTCCGTTGTGCCGACAAAGCACTGATATCGCAGTGACAAAGAGGATAACAATTAACTTACAACATGAATAAAAGTGGTTCGGGAACGACGTGTGCGGTAGTTGGTTGCAAAAACTCGCGAAAGCACCTGAACGAGTGGTTAGATAGAGAGTGTTACGACCACAAACCAGCTACGAAGAGGCAATGTCCATGCGCTCCATTGTTTAAATTTTTTCGCAAGCCTGATACCGACTCGGAATCAAGGACCTGGCTGAAGGCATTAAATCTAAAGAAACCACCCCGCACCGTTTAAGTTTGTTCCTATCACTTTGTTGACCAAAAACCAACCAAGGATAATCCTTTCCCAGAGTTGTGGTTGGGATACAATCGTCCTCCCCAGCCAAAGAGGCGTCAACTCACTGGCTAGGCTCTACATTTGCTTTTAGATAAATAAGTGATCATGTTTGTATGACATAACACAACCGACTTTGTTGCTGTGCAGATATTGGTATGCCTCGGAGGCTTTCAGATTGTCCATTGCTTTTCCATCTATTGCCATGGAGTGCATGAAGTAGGAGCAAATATTACTGTACGTTATCCTGGGCCACGTCGTCATGTTATCCTCCCAGTTCTGTACTGAATTCGGGTGGGGGATAGTAACGCCATCTCCAGTCAAAGTAGTGGAACCGTGTTCCCAAGCTAGCATCTTAATAGCTGTGTTTACACCGGCAGACGCTGTGCAAACCACTTCCGGCGGAAATGAATTGCATATGTGTAGCGTTATGGCGGCGCCCACAATTTGCCGCGTAAACTTGTGTATAGTGTAGAGAGATAGAGAGACTCACGGAGACGCGCGATTCACAGAGAAACACAGCGAAATTGACGTAAATAAAGCGCTGGTCTATTTTGGTTGCTTGCAGGATGAAGGATTTTCAGGAGAACAGAGCTTTTTGACAGATGAGGAACTAGATTACCAGGATAGACCCAGCTGAAGTGCCATTTATTTATTTACTGTAAAAAGTATTATATTAGTATAAATGTATTATAAAAGAATAAAAAGAACATAATAAATAAAAGAATAAATAAAATAGAAATGCAAAATCTGTGATGTGGCCCTCTGTGTGATTGCTGATAGGAACTGTTTTGAGGCTTGGCACCAGTGAATTTCATGAGGCCCCAAACGCCTGGACTTCTTTTGGAAAAATGTCAATAGTTTTTGTTCTGTACAAGTTATAATGTTTATTCCTGTGCTCCAGGACTCCAAAGACATGAACAAACTATTTTCCAGAGGAAAATTGCTTAGCTTTTATTTATTTGTGTGTGATTTTAATAAATAATTGAGTGATTCCATTTCCGATTTATTTTTTCATTTGTCTTTATGGTCCCATAACTTATAACTTAACATTCAGGTGACATCAATGTAACACAAATATGCTGAAAGTTCAATTTGTCCTGAAAAAAAAGAGGTGTGTCAATTGTCTGTGCACCAAAGGGTTGATATTTTACAAGCTTTTTTAGTAAATGACACCAGACGGAAAATTTATTGTAAAAATACCCTTAGGTCTCAGAGGGTTAAATTCTTAATGTTCTATAAACTCTATCAGCATGTGTTTGGCTGTTCGCTACTGATGTTACACCTAAACTCAGGATCAAAGCCTGTGTTGACAGAATACCAAATGTGCCAGTTAATGTATTCAAGCAGCACATTCATTTATAATTTTGAATAAACTCTAAAGCACAATGACTAAGTGTGTATTTTTTATTTTAATTGTTTGTCAGCTCGCACAACTGTCTGTCACCATGCCTTGATGAGTATTGATTATTAATAATGTTATTATATTACTCCCAATCAACTACTGCGGAGGGTAAAGGGACTGTTATTTCTAGAGGTCGACCGATTCATCGGATTCCGCACCGATAGTTATTTCCTGGTTTCGTCCGTTGCTGGGGCGGCTGAGAAGTGCGCGCTGTCATTCATTACACAGTACGAGAGAGCTGAGAAGGGTCTGCTGGCATCATGCAGTACAAGAGCGGACTCTGTCATAAAAACTATCAACTGATGCCTCGTGTTGTTTATTTCGACACGTGACACTGCGCGCTGCACTGAGAGCGCGCGCTGCGTGTATTAAGTGGAGATCGCTTGACATCTGATGCGCGTGCTAAAGCACGGACAGCGAAAAGGCATGTACACAGGAAATTTTGTCATATCATTATAAACTGATGAATTTGTTGACTAAATGCTCCATTAGTAGAGAAAGAACCGCACAACAGTATGTTTGTTTGCCTTCGAGAGTGGCTGAGAGGACGCACATTAGTAGTAGCTCAAGCGGTTAAAACACTGACACAAAAATACACCTAAGTCCGACCCGAATGTTTAATGTCACAAATTGTTACCATCTATTTGCATTAGTTTATATCCAGCTGGTCACTTTGATGCATTCATTATGCAGCGACGTTGCATATACTGTAAGCTAGAGACGTATATAGCAAACTGATATGTTCATACAGCCGACAAAAACAAACGAATCAGAGAAGCATTCGATTTCGGTTCTTTTTTCACCATCACTTTAATACTTATTTTTATTAAATAGTCATTAAGTTATATAAAATACAGGGCTCCAGACTGCGACCAAATAGTCGCATTTTGCGACCAAAATTTGAGAGTGTGCGACTGAATTTTACATCCAGTCGCACATAAACGCATGGTAAGCGTGAAAGGGACGCGTCAATGAATCCGTGACAAGAATAGTGCGATTAAACGTCTGTAGGAACATGAGAGACGGAGTGAGACGGAGACAAATATCACAACCTGATGTGCGTCTGAGCAATAAGCGATCTATCGACAAAATGAAAGTGGAACTAAAATACGCAACTCATATAGGCTATGCTTCACGGACCGTTGGCGTTTTTATTAGGTTGGACCAATAATAGACAGAGCAGCGCATAGTGGAGCCCCCCGAACCACCGACAGTAATAAAGCCCCGAACTTGCCAGTCACTGGTTAAGGGGCCATTCACATATCGCGCCTAAAAACGCGTAGAAAACGCTAGGCGCACGCGTTCTCCTTTTTCCAAAGAAGCGCTAGGGCGGTTGCACTCCGGAGGCGTCTGTCGTTGCTAAGCAACCATCAGCTGCGCTCTCCATTACATGAAGGAAATTTCAGCAATGGATTTCCACCACCGAAAAACCCTTGCTGTAACTCTGTTACAAGATTTATTTACTCAGAAAAGTAAAAAAACGCATACAACATACCCATACTACAAAAACGCAAGAACCATGGGGAATTTCAACTGAACAATGGGAGGTTCAAAGCCTATTCCAGAGTGGACAAGGACCAGTTTGATTATATTTTAAGAAGAGGTAACAAAAATGGCGAGGAAGCTGATTGGTTGGTTCGTGTCACGTGACCTACGGTGCGCTTGCGGCATTCTGAAAAGTTGAGATGTTTTTATCTCGATGCGGCGCGGATGCGCCTGGAAAAAACGAGCGCGTCGCACCGCGACCGCGTCGCTTCCATTATGAGCGCGCATACCGCGCGCCTACATTTGAAATAACGAACTTGAGCGCGCAAAAGACGCGATATGTGAACCGGCCCTAACACATTAATTAACATTAACTAAGGTTAATAACTGCTGTTCATTGTTTGTTAATTAACATACTACATTTTTAAATTAAGGTTTTTATTTGTTAACCATAGTTAAAACTCTATGAACTAACATGAATGATCAAGGTGAAATTGTATTGCTCAAATATTAATGCTGTAAACATATTGCATAATGCAGTTCATGTAAACTAGCTAATAAATCATTGTTAACAAATTGAACTTGCAACA